CTTTGTTTATTGTTTGGGGCTCCTGGTGGCTGTCCTTGTACAACGCGAGCTAAACAACACACATGTCAAGTTTGTTACTTGATTTGAAGGGTGTGTCTGTGGCAGTGGAGTTCGCCAAGGGGCTCTGTGGGAGCAGTTCTATAGAGATGTAGAGGTAAGCCAGGCATGTGTGTGTAACATGCTCACACGCACCTTTTGTCCAAAATCCAGTCTCTTGATTATTTAAAACTTTATCGTATTCTGACAGAAACATGGAATGGCTGAACTGACTCAAACCAATACACTAATTAATTCAGAAACTGGTTTTTACGGTGGTCAGGAGTCGTTGCTCAGGAGGAAAGCAGTAAAGAAGAAGGCAGATGGAATGGTGCCCACCCTGGTGCTGCGCTCGCCCTAAAGCTAGTTTGTAAACATCCAGAGTTCCAGGCTGGAAAGGATCCTGCTGGAACCAGGGTGTTTTGTTGCCCTAGTGTAGCCAGGATCTTGTTTACATATATATTTTTTGCAAAGCTTATTACCATCTTCAAAGGGAAAGGGGAAGACACCGAACGAAACACGTAAGCCCCAGTGACCAAGCCAGTGCTGACGTGTGATCCTTAGAAACAGCTCATAATGCAAAGAGTTGCCAAGAGTTCAGCTGGGGGTAGAATTTTAAATTAAAGCAACGCACAAGGCAGTTCTAAGCCCAAGCCAAGAGGATGCTCTCTCCCACTGAGCTGATCCCAGGGAAGGACGTACCTGGTGTGCCGGGAGTGGCGGCTTCTGCCCCGTGGGTCGGGCTGTGCCGGCAGAGTCCCCTGTGCCGCTCGGTGCCCGGGGGCTGCAGCGAGCTCTGGCTGCTGCGGAGTTCTTGAGCAGTAGAAGCAGAACCCCGCTTGCCCGGGGACCAGAAGTGAAGTGCTGCTGGCCTTCCTCTCTGAAGGTCACGAGTAGCCAGTATCTGTTTGAAAGGGAAGTCTATTCTAAGCAGGCAAAGACATCACGAACGTGAGTTGAAGTGATAAAATTTGTGTTTTTTCTCTCAAGTTGCAGCAAACAGTTCGAGCTTCACAGCCACTGGCATGAAATTGTGTTTAAAAAGGTAACATGCTGACAGGGAACAGAATCCAAGGGTGAGCACCTTTGGGGATGCCTTTTTCATACTTTATGTTTTGAAATGATGTCACCGTAGGGCCGCCTGGTGGCATGGCTGTACCTTTTGGTTTGAAATGTCATTCTTGATTAAAACACATTAAGAGTTGTTAAAGGAGAACTAAATATGCCAGTCACGTGCAACTTCGAGTAAAATATTGAAGTGTGCAGCTCTCCTGAGTACGTGTAGTGCCAAACGGAGAGATGCAGCGTTTTCAAGTGTAAGCTGCTGTTCTGCGATGGATTTAGTGTTGCAGCACAGATAATATTTTTGTGTGCTTTGGAGCAGCTGTCCGGGCAGAGGATTAAGAGCTTAGAGGACGGGCAGTGCGTCTCAGCTCTGTGTACAGTCTCACCCCATTGGAATGACTCTAGACATCAGCACGTGCTGAAGGGTTGCTTTGTTACGCAAACATGGGTATTTTTCCAAAATGCCAGCCAAATTTAGTATTTAAGGATACAAAGATACAGCTGCTATTTCCAAAGGCTTAGAAGGCAAGCAGCGAGCACGATTGCCAGAAGACCTCTCCTGTATATCATATACTTTTGGTGGCTCAAGAGCAAACTGGTGATGTGTTTTACTCTTAGCCATACAAGTCTTTTTCTTCCCCCTCAAATCCAGATTTAATTTCTACTGGTCTAGCTGTTGTTTTTTTAAGAAATTTATTCTAACTTTTTGTCTGACCTCAGTGCCTATGAAAGGAAACCTGCTGATGGAGTTCTGTGTCAGAACCAGAGATATGGGTTCATAGACGGAGATGGGAGAAAGCCGAGGGTGTCTCGGGGTGTATCTGGTGGCGGAGGGGCTGCTGGTGCTGGTGACTGGGTTCTTCACGTGTCGGGTGACAGGCGTGCAGGTTGGGCTGGCAGCTCTGAAGCCTTTGCTCGCTGATTCAAACTGACTCTGTTTCTAAGTGAAGGCTCTTACGCCACTAAACGGTCGCCGTGTATCAGCAATCTCTCTGCCTTATCGCCGGAAGGTTGTGCCCCATTACCAAAACCTTCTGATGGGGTAGCCAGCCCTCCCAGCCCTACTAAACATGCAAACCCAGAGACCGTAATGCGTCTGGGGCCAAGCCCTGTGAACTGCTAAAAGCAGGGTGCTCAAGATAAATAGTTCTTTAGAATAATCCTGCTAGCAGGCATGGTAATTACAAAAGCATTGCAGGACTTCTGGATTTGTCCTTTTTTACCCTCTCAAAGCTGCTGGAAAATACTTACTGCCCAGTTTTGGTTCGCTGACGGGTAGACGATGCCTGTGCAGCCTCCTGCGGCCCTACAAGGCTCTGTCCGAAGCTTAGTCACCGGGTCTTTGGCCGCCTCCAGCCGCTCTCGATGCAAACGTTGCTCCTTGCGGGGCGAGCTGGGGCGGGGGCGAACGCACGTCGCAACAAGCCCGGTCATGGTTGTGCCGGTTCCGCAATTACAGTTGCTTAATTCAGGAGGTTCCGGTGTGCCTCAACACAAAGATACATTTTTAGAACTTTGATGGTTTTAGCTTCCTTTTTCAGGATGCCCAGGAAGAGCTGTGCTGGTGGAAAGCCACAGTAAAGGTTATTGCTAGAGAAACCTCGAAAGTAAAGGGCCTGGTGTGTGTAGTGACAAAAGTCTTGCTCGGGGAGTGGTCTGCAGCTGTCTCCAAGCACGAGTTCAAATAATATTCTTCCACGATAACTCTCCCGTGGAGAGATGTGGCTGGGCCGCTCAACTACCGTGTAATACAAAGCTTCCGAAATGAAAAAAAAAATCACAGATGTTCCCAGATTGCATGCTCCTTGTGTTCTTGGGTCTGATGTGCTGTCATGGCTCCACCTGGAAAGCCAACCTTCACATGCAGCGTCCTGCGCAAACTGGGAGTCTCCGACTGCACGACAAAATGTATGTGTGGTTCTCTGCAAGGACAGCGAAAGGTCAGCGCCTGAGACTTTTCCTACCAGCTTTCTTGTGCCTTTTTTCTTTCAAGAAAAGCTTTTAAGGAGCCAAATTCCATGTGAAGTATAGACAAAGTAACTACAGCTATGTGGTATCAGGGGACAAGAGTATTGGTTTATAATTCATTTTTAGCCCTGGGAAAATATTTCTCAAACGGCGTCTTCAGCGATCTGTCTATATAAACCCATGTATAAATGAGTGACAGAGGATTATCACAGATACATTCTGTCAAGATAAAGTAAACTTGTTTGGGGGGCGATGTGACATTGCAATCCTGGAGGCATCCCAAGCCTGCAGGCAGCGTGAGCCACCCTGCGGCGGGGCGACGTGCCCGGGGGGGTGAGGGTGCGAGGCGGGGTGTGGAGAAGTGGCAGCCTCCTGGATGAAATGGTCTGGAGTTGGAAGATTTTGTGTAGCCATCTCTCCCGGTGGAGATGAGCGTGGGTGGGTGTGTACCTGCCGGCTCCTGGAGACACGAGAGTGAAGGTTTTAAAGGGGAATAGCGGCAGAGCAGGCAGAGAGGGGAAGGTGTGTGAATTTAACACTAGTTATCAAGCACAATTTACAAGCCATAAACCCTTCCGGGCTTTACTTGAGTTATAAAGGGGAAACCAGAAGCACTCGGTCTTGGTTTTCTTCAACCATGTAAGACTTAAGAGAGTCTTTGGTTATTAATGCGTGTGTGTGTACGTAACTGATCCTCCAGTTCTAAATACTACCCTTTCCAAAACGAACCCAACACCCTGCTGCATTTAATTTGGTGCTTATGAGAGTTAAAACTGTGCAACCTCATCCCTGAAACGGCTCTCTTAATACGGTTTAGTGTGTGCGTAGACCCCTCGGTCCCAAATGACAAATTTGGTCAGAGCTAGTCGTTTGAGGTTGTGTGTGAACGTACGTTTCTACAGGGCTGATTGGAAAACAGGGTTTATTTTGTGGTATTTTAGCTCTTTGAAATATTTTTATTTCAAGCAGGATAAGTATCCGAGATATCCTGTCTTCCTTTTTAGAAATGATCCCCCCTGAACAAGGTAAGTGGCTTTATAATACTTGCATTAATCCAAATATATAATCCAAATATTATACTACTTCAAGTTCATTATATATAAAGCAGAATCTAAACTTAAACTATGTTTAAAAAACAAACAAAGAAGCCCAACCCAGATAACCCCTTGTTTCAGTAGAAAACTTTTCATCAAAGGTGTTCTCATGCGGTCACTTATCTTTTTTCAACATTGCACTTTCAGGATTGTCTTCTCAAACCATTTTTTCCTATGTTAAAAGGGAATTCCTTATATGAATAAGACACTTGGTGATGGACTGTTGCCACCTTCTGTTTGTTCAATTGCACTGCATTGCATCACGTGTATAAAAATTGATTGCTCGAAGTGTGCGTCAGCTCCTTACAATCTGCGTTTTTTAAGCTGGCTGTTTATTTTTCGTACGAGCAGCTTTTACTCTAAACAAATCTGATTTAATCCCTGGTGAAGCACAGGACAAAACAGTCCGCGTAAACCTCGTTCCCTTTACGGGATTAAATACAAACCTTTCTTTTCTACGACGCAGTTGTTAGGCAACGCTTTCTCGAACAGCAGCTGCTGTGTTGGTCTTTTGTCATTCCTTTCTGCTTGCCTTGGTTTTGGATGCTCTCCTTTAATATTTTCTCTGCCCTGGTTGCATGTACCACAGCATGAAAATAACACCCTGAAGGTGTTCCCTGAACTGCTCTCCAGGTTGCTCTCTAACCCAAGGAGGGATCCTTGCCTTCTGTTGGACTTTGACAAAAACCAACCGACCAAAACAACCCCCAAAGCCCTTCTGAAGTGAACGTGACCTCTGTGTGATTTAAGCTTTTGAGTTTTGGGGTGGATGTTAGTGAGCTGAAATGGAGAAGCTGTACACGTCTGCACGCTCCTTAATGAACTTCCGTGGTCAGATACTCAAAGATGGGCTTTATTTACACGATATACAAACATTCTCACAAATGAGCAAAGTCTCTGTGTGGGTGACTTCAGACGTCAGTGTATTCATGGTATATGCGCACTTCGGATCTTCTAACACTCTGAAGGGATCTAATGCTCTCGCTCCTCGTTCGCATGTTTGATTTTCTGAACAGCCTTCGTGAGAACGATCTACACATGAAAAAGTAAATGATTGGGTCCAGACAGACATTGCACGCGGACAAGAACAGTGTCATTTCCTTACAGTAGTACAAGATTTTATGCGCAGAGTCATCTAAAATTTTGTCTAGGTGGCTAAAGGTGAAGGGTATTCTGCATAAATGGTATGGCAGAAAGCAAGTGAAAAACACGGCCACGACAACCCTTATACTTTGATTATGCTTTCGCTTCCTGCTCGATGAGCTAATGAATTGTTTGCTCGACTTGTAAATGTACCTGGATATGGCAATATAGCATCCGATCAGTACTATGAGCACCACCACAAACAGGCAGGTGTTGATGTAGACGACGGCCGTGTGCCACTTGACTCCCAAGGGGGACTTCAGCTTTATGCAGTCGTCTACGTTTTTCCTGGTGGGGTAGCCGTTGGTGAGAATCAGGTTTGGCAGAGCCAAGAAAGCCATCACCACCCACACGCAGGCCGAGAGGATCTTGGTGAAGGTGATGCTGTACATCCTGGAGTCTCCGAAAGGCTTCACCACCTTCAGGTAGCGGTCGATGCTGATGAGCCCCAGGAAGACGATCGTGGTGTACATGTTGGCGTAGAACAGAACCGTGGTGTACCGGCACAGGAAAGAGTTGAAGTGCCATGGTCCCAGCTGCGAGTCCTGGATTATCTTGAACGGGAACGTCAGTGTCATGAGAAGGTCTGCAACCACAATGTTTTTGAGGTAAAATATGAAACTCGTTTTGTTTCTAATGTGGAAAAAAATCCACACGGCTAGGCCGTTCAGCAAGATGCTGGCCAGGAAGATGATGAGGTAAAGCACGGGCAGGACGATGGTGGTGAACTCGTCGTGCGTGCCGTTCCCCGGGAAGCCTGCTGTGGCGTTGGGCGAGGTGCTGTTGTCTTGGCTCGGGCGGTCATCTGTGGGGACGAGGGAAAACACAGGTTCAAAGTACGTTTCTAGTGGTTTCCAAAAGGGGCTGCTTTAGAATTGTCCTCTAGCAAGTGTCCTATCTCTGGGCAATTCCGGAGGCTGCTTGGATCAACCAGCCTGGAAAACCTGGGGGTGCTCTGAGCTCGGCTGCTGTGGTAAACCAGGACTGAGACCCCCGGGGCAGCCCTTTTCTGAAATGACTTATTTCTCTAAAATGTGGGTTGGAGTGGATGGTAACTCAACAAACACTTCTCAGCCACCTAAATTTGCAGCGCTGTTTTACCTGGCGGTGTTCCGTATGACGAATTGTGCCCCATCCTTCGCGTCGCTGTGGGTTTCCAGCCGCCGTGCGTTTCAGGAGTCCCGCTGGCAGCCGCAGATCCGGGATGCGGCATGGGCTGTGCCAGCGTTACCTTCTGGGGAAAACAAATCGGAATTAAAACCAAAGCAAACCAGAAGACCCCACCACCTTCCTCTCCGCAGCCGGGAGGTGTGCTTTGCGAAGTAAGCGTCCTCCAGAATTCCCAGTAGCGGGGCTGGGGTGTGCTGGTGCCTCATTGCTGGGCGCTGCCTGGCTCTCTGCTGCTTCGGGGCAGGCGATCCTGCCACCTTAGTTCTTGTAAACCTGTCGGGTTTGCTGTTTAAACTATTTCCCTTTCTCCATCTCACTGACAAAGCCGTCCTGGAGCCTTACTGCTGTAGTATTTGGCAACATTATTCTGTTCCGTTCTCGTGGTTCTGAATGAAGTGCTCCGGAAGCCAGCCGACAGGCAATACTGAAAAACTGCAGAATCTAATTTGGGCTGGGATGGCATTATAATGTTTGGACATTGTTCAGAGAAATTTTGACAGTGCTGATTCATAAAACTACATTTCAGATATACAAGTATTAGTTTTTTTTCCATGCGTTACTTCCATTTGCAAGTTTTGATAGGAAAACTAGCAAAAGAGTTCAGATCTCAGCACTTACACTAGACTCGACTGCCTTTCGCGTGGGAATGAATAGATAATAAAGTTGCTGAAGCCCTTCTGCAGATCTGAACTTGTTTTACGTGATGATCATGGTGTTATGAACTGCACTGAATTGTCACTAGATGGCAGTAAAACAAGTGATTACATTTAAAAGTGTCAGTAAAAATTTTCTGGTATTTTAAGGTTTTTATCGGTTCGGCTTCTTGTTTGGCATCGTTTGTGCTGATCATGACTGGTGTGCACACTGAGATTGTCAGGGGTATCTTAGACACTTTGTTTTCTCTTGGTCTGAGAAGCATTAACCTATCTGGTTTGTGTTATTGTCTATAATTTGCAGCTCTCCTTTTTTTTGCCCAGGAGGCACCGAGATCAAAAGAATATGTGATTTTATGAAAAGATGCATATCTGTCTGTAGGCAAATAAGATGCTTATTTCCCTGCTTTTCAGAGTTCTGGCTAAGTTGGTGTAATTCCTGGTCCCAGGAAAGCTCCCTGCTCTCGGGCTGTTCAGGCAAGTGCTCTCCCAGCTCCTCAGCGCGCAGAAGTTGGCGAAGTGTCGCCTGTGCTGTCAGTGTGACCGCTGGCCCCTGTGCCCGTGCTGAAACCCTGGGGAGCGCTGCAGGCTTTGGTGGAGCTGGAATCAGAGCTGTGCTAAATGGGCATCTCGTAGGTCCCAAAGGGATTTGCTCTAAATCCTGTCAAGAAAGGCTCCTTTTCAGCCTCTGCTGCCACCCTTTCAGGTTGGGGACTGCTAAATTCTGATGCCAGGTGTTATCTGTGAACGTACGGACAACCCCCGCGCTCTCCAAAGGTTCTGCCTCTTGTTGGCATCAGAACACGGACAGATGGTTTCTGACACTGGTGCAGAAGACCCCTGGCTGCAGGGGTCTGTGCCTGGCTGTCCTCCAGCCTCTCCCTGCAGCTGGTGGGGCTGCCCTTCCCGTCCACATCCCTTGGATTCCTGGTAGCTGTCGACGATGTCCGTGAGACTCTCACTTTCCAATTTCCTTCCTCCTTGTGGGCAGCGTCTTGTTTCTTAGCTCCTCTTACTCAGATCCACCACGCCGTTAGTCTGAGTCTGGGGATTTCGCCTGTGGTTTCATAGCTGATAACTGCTGCAGAGGGCAGTCTGCAGCCCTTTGGGCCTCACTTGTTCTGGGCCCCTCCCTGCAACAAAGATCTGGAGGGGCTGGAGTGGGTCCAAAGGAGAGCAACGAGGCTGGGGAAGGGACTAGAGGGAAAGTCCTATGAGGAGAGGCTGAAGGGTCTGGGGGGTGTTCATCCTGGAGAAGAGGAGACTCAAGAGGGACCAGGGCAGGGGGCAGTCTCTGTCCCTGGAGGGGTTTAAGGAGAGGCTGGACGTGGTACTTAGTGCCGTGGTCTGGCCCATGTGGTGGCATTGGGTCATGGGCTGGACTTGATGATCTCAGAGATCTTTTCCAGCCTTAACAATTCTGTGATTCTGTGAAAAAGCTAAATCATGCTCACGGAAGGCTCTGTCTGGACAGGCATGTTTCTTACCGCCCCAGGGAATCTGTTGCAGCCTGCCAGAGCCTCTCGGGGTTCGATAGCACCAGTACGGCTGCCCTGCTCACCTTGCAACCCTTCCTCTCTGGTGTGGGCTGTGCAGGACCCGCGCTGGCTGCAGCAGCCCAGCTGCTCCGTGCCGGGGCTCCGCTGACCCTGCCGGGCGCGGTGGGGTGCAGGAGCAGCGACATCCCTTCGCTTGTGCTTTCCCGGTCAGTGCTGGTCACTTTGAGTGAGTTCCATACGGGCTTGCTGATTCCTGCCCCACTGACCATGGGAGATCCCACCACGTGCATCCCCCTGGCCAGCCTTGGTGCCCGCACTCGGGGAAATCCAGGTCGCCTGGAGGACACGCCGGGAGCTTGTTGCTGCAGACCAAGAGCCTCTGTGTGGATGATCTCTGCACCAGTTTATTCCTGGTGGCTCTAATCTTAGAAAACATGTTCCAAAATATATCGCAATGAAGCATGGATTTGAAAAAGAAAGCAGCAAACCCTTCACCAAGGTGAGGCGTGACAGCGGAGCTGCAGAGCAGTGTTCTGCCCTGCCATGCCGGCACAGCTGAGCTCCGCAGGGAGGCTGCGGTGGTGCTGGGCAGACGTTAGAGAGCACCTGCCCATGGCTGCCCTAATTAGGTGCTACAGACTTTCCCTCATGCTGCTGTAGCTTGAAGCTTTAAAGTCCTGAGCAAACAGGTTTGTGCAGAGCAGCAGAGAGGGGCAGGCGCGACAGTCTCATTGCCCAGAGGTGGCCGTGTGACAGCGTTTCAGGGTGCGCAGAGATGATCCCGCTTGCACTCAGCGGACCAGAGGTGCTTCCGTGGTTTCCTACCTCAGTCTGTCAGGGAGACAGAGCACTGGGAATACCGTGGCTTTGTGGTTTCCGAGCAAGGTTGGTTGAGCAAGACTCATGATGGTCAAACCTGGTGTATCCCTGTGCTCTAGAAGCTTCATTTTTCTGGCAAAGACCACTGTGTTGCAGGCTCCAGGAGCAGCAGGGAGGTTACCACACGTGGAGGATTCTCCCTTTTCCGTGTGCCTCTCTTGGAATGCGAGTTGAGGACTGCCTTCTCTTTAAAGAGAGAGAGTATGTGGTGATATTTTGCAATCGTGTGCTCTGAGAGTGCTTTTTTTACTTGTTTGAATATGGTATTTTTGTGCTGGGCAAGGTTGGTTTTTCACTTGCTTTTCTTCGGACTATTTTCATCCAAACCAGCTGAGTTGTTCTTCCAGGTAAATATATTCTGCTTGGATGGTTTTGAAGATGCACGAGGAGCTACCCCTTTATTCAGGTAGCTTTTTAAACCAGAATACTTTTTACTTCTTGTAGTTTATGCACCGTCAACTACATTAAATGTAAGTTAAGCACATACTGTTTCACAGATGAGGTAATCTTTTACTGCTCGTGTTGATAGACTGGTTTGTGTGCATGACTGATACAACCTCAGGTGAGAAATTAAACAATAGGTTGCATGGCAGACTTCAGTGTCGTATGGGTAGGGAATGACTGTATGTTTTTTCTAATGACTAAGGCTTTAAGTTACCTCACTGGAGAAAATCTATATCCTCAAATCTAGTTGCTCTTTTTTTCATCTTATTTACAACTTTTTAAAAATTAGAAAATTCTCTTTGTGAACCGAACTGGATATTCCAGGTCATAGGGCTGCAGAGTTTTAAGTGATGGTTCACCATAAAATCTAGTGAGCAATGGAGTTAATGGAAACAATAGAAATGTGAGGCAGTTTATTAAATTTGCTGTTGGCTGGCTGCAATTGTTACCTTTTCTCTTGCCCTTTTAAACCAAATCACTGAGTTGTAAAGATTTAGGGGGAAAAAGCGCCGGTGAAGGCTGCAGCGTAAGCATATGTGTACCTAAAGCTTCTGCAAGCAGCCGAGTGGAGCCTGTGTCCCTGCTGTCTTCTTTATTTCAGCCCACTCCTGCGCTGCATCACCTGCGCGAGCCTTTCCGTTCTGCTTTTCCCTGTTTGCCTCTGTTTGTCTTCCCTGGTGCATTTCCTTGTTGGCTAAAAGAGAGCCCAATCCCGATAACTAGGACACTACCACCTTCTCCTTCCTCGGAGGCTTGTCTTGAAAATCATCCGTCTGCCTTTTGCTAAAAGTGCATGTTAATGTGCTGTTAATGCAAAGTGGAATAACTTGATATTCCTGTTGGAATTGCCACCTGCGGCGAGTGAGTATGTGCCTCTTACTCTCTTGTGCTTTGCATGCTTCCTTATATTTTGCTTTTTCCTAGCTGTTGTATCCCTGTCCAGCTGTGCTGAGCGTTGCTGTGCTGTGGACAGCGGTGCAGGCGGTGACGGGGACTCACATGGCGCTGGGGTTGGTGTCGATCGAGGGCTCCTGTGCAGTGCAGGACCACGGCCGCTTGTGCTCAGCATCGTTCTGTCCATGTGCAGCGTCTCTTGTACGCGGGGAGCGAGGAGGATCACTGGGCCAGAGAAAGCTCGGAGACTCGGGAAATTACATTTGAGCACAAGAAAACGCTTTCTTTTGCAGCGCGGGTGGTCAAACACAGGTGTGGGCTGCCTGTGGAGGCTGTGGATCTGCGTGCCGGGTGATACCTCCCTGCCAGGCTTGGCCCTGCTGCCTGGTGTCAGGGGCATCTCCTGGGGTGCCCCTACCTCAGCCACGCTCTGCTGCGGTGGGGGGCTCCCCTGAAGGCTGGGGGAGCTGGACAATCGGAGGTGTCTGTGGCCCCGCGGGTTTGACCCGGCCAGCTGGCACTTGCTGGCTGCTTCAAGCTGGAGGGTGCTTCGCCATGGAGCAGCTGGGGAGGAGGTGAAAATCACCTTCCCGGGG